TTTTATATGGTATTTTATATATATATATATATATATATATATATATATATATATATTATAATTCTCATATTTGGAATATGTAAAATAACAATTGAAGCATGATATCTGATGCTGAAGTATTTCACAGACATAATAGAATTATCATGGATGCAGAAACAAAATGTCCTCTAGGGTGAGACAAACTCCATATATAATTTACTGTAAAACTTGGAAGTAGTGTGCTTTCTGTTTGTGCTTTTATATATAAAATCAATATTTGATAATCAAAATGTTTTTGTCTTCTAGAAATGTAAATATCTCATCTTGTTTGGTGGAAAAGCTCCTTGCAACTTTGTGTTGCAGACAAAAACAAGTACAAAGTTAGTTGTTGACTCTGCAGATGGGTTTAGTGTTTGTTTGCCAGACTGAAGCACATTTCATGGTTTCTTCCTGCAGAACAGGAACTCTAGAGCCCGGAGACAAGCTGCTGGCCATAGATAACATCCGTCTGGAGAACTGCTCCATGGAAGACGCCGTCGAGATCCTCCAGCAGAGCGAAGACCTGCTCAAACTCAAAATCCGCAAGGATGAGGACAACTCAGGTGTGTGCGACCTGCAGGCCAGCTTTACTTTCAGTCTGTTCAGAATGAGAGAGACAGTCTCATGAAACCTGTCAAGAACGTTTGAAGGCCGTATTTCATATTTAAAAAGAAAGAAACGGAGAATAGGACATTGTGTTTAACTCAGGGGCCATCATTTTGCATTGTGACGTTATTTTCCTCCCATTATCCGCTAAATCCTCGTTACTGTAATGCGTTTGTATGTTTTGGAGTTTCGAGTTTCTTTAGATTTCTCAGTATTCTCTAATGATTTTCATTAGAGATTGATGTTGCTATAATTCATTATTTTCTTTTAAATTAATCTCAGCATAAAGTAAAAACAGTACGACAAATATTATCATGATATAAGAGTTTAGAATTTAAATCATATAGTGCATTATTGTTCTCATTATGTACATTGCATAAAAATGTTCATGGCCCTTTAAATAGACTTTCTTTATGCAAATACTATATTTTATTTAGTTAGAAATATATTTTATAGTTATATTTGTTTTTATTGTATTTGTATATGGTTGTTCTTGCCTTTTAGAAATATATATATATATATATATATTCTTTTTTGTTTGTTGTAATATTTTTCATTTATTACTTTTTTATTTATTTATGACGATACATATCAAATGCAATAAAAATAAAATGCATATAAAAAAAATTTAAATACATTTAAATAAAATTTAATTAAATAAATTTTTTATTAATGTTTTTGGATGTTAGAAATATATGATGAAATATGAAGTATGACCCAGTTATATAACCCAAGTTTTTCCAAAATCAGTCAATCCAAAATAAAATATCCAACACTGGTTTGATATTAAACATCTAATTTGAAAATCATACAGGATGCATGTCAGTGTGTAATTCAACATTTGACCGCTAGGTGTCAGTATATCCCAGCAAAACTTCTTCAAATGTGAATTAGTTCAAGGATGCAACTGTAAATCCTGCCAATCAAGCACTGGCCACACCTAATTATAATTTTTTATTATTATTATTACTATTTTCCACATTTTTGAACAACAGTAAAGTCATCAAAACTATACAAATTACTCAAATGGGAATTATGTAGTAACTTTTTGTTGACATGATCGACATCTCAGCTTCAGCATGTTGCTAGAAAAGTTCCTTTTCTGTTATGAGGTGAAACACAGTCTGTGGTCAAAATAGCAGAGGAATCGATTTAAGTGTCTCATGGTCGCTTTGAAATGAAAATGTCTGTCTGACCTGTTTCCAGCTCCAAGAGCAAATCAAGAGAAACTGTAAATGCCGAGCTCCTCTGTTCACATTGTTGAATTATTCATTGAATATTCATAATATGTTGACCTGAATACATTTCTGAAGCATCCTCAAAATGATTCAGAACAGTAGAAACGCCTCTTTTGACTGACCAACTTGTAAAGTGTTATGTTTGTGGTCCAGACGAGCAGGAGTCGTCGGGCTCCATCATCTACACGGTGGAGCTGAAGCGCTTCGGCGGCCCGCTGGGCATCACCATCTCCGGCACCGAGGAGCCCTTTGACCCCATCATCATCTCAGGCCTGACCAAGAGAGGTCTCGCTGAGAGGTGAGCCACAGGTCACACTGATCCACCCTAAATGGGACGCCAAACCCACCAAATGTGAGATGAAACGGAGCGATGTTACAGAGCTCAGTGGACCGAGCGTCACAACCTAATCTCACCAGCGTGGCATTTCTTAATTCATCACTGCTCCGCAGAAATATGCCTGTTTTCACTGCACAGTTTCATCCACATTTGATGTGTTTGGCTTCCCATATCCCTGAATGGTTGTATGACGTTTTCCTCTCCTAGCATCATTTTCAAGCAAGTATTTAATATTAAATTGCAAAGATTTCATATTAATATTTCTTAATTCATATGGTTGCACATTGTGTGGTTGTTGTCTCTTGTCACAGGACTGGAGCCATTCACGTTGGCGATCGTATTCTGGCCATCAACAGCGTCAGTCTGAAGGGGAAGCCGCTCAGTGAAGCCATACACCTGCTGCAGATGGCAGGAGAAACCGTCACCCTCAAGATCAAGAAACAGACCGACAGTACGTCTCAAATTATACACTACTGGATGCACTTAACGGTCCTAAAATAGGCCTTATTTTTTATGGGAAAAATATATAATATATGTTATATGTTTTATCTATCTTTTCATATAATGTAATATGGTATACTATAATATAATACACTTCTCTCCTCATTCCCCCTATTTTGGGGTCTTCTGGTTGTTTAATAAGATGCTCTGTTAGTGAAAACATTTCCCCCTCAATTCATTTTAATAAAAATAATTAGAAAAAGTAAAAGTTTTATTTAAACCGAACCATTCCATTTACATCTTTATTATTATTATTATTATTATTATTATTATTATTATTATTGTTGTTGTGAATGTTATTACCATATTAGTATTGTTATA